CAAAAACAAAAAAACAAAAAAACTCTCCCAAAGCAATCAACTTTGAAATAGACAAAATAATTAATAAATGAACCAAGATGTTGTTGGAAACTTTACATAGAAAAGAATACATACTAACAAAACAAATTTCAAAATTAATGAAAACTAATTAAAAATTAAAACATAATTAATCAAAATTAAGGTGCAAAAAATTGGAGTGGCTTAACTACCCTTTTTAGAAAATTTATCAGGAATTAAAGTGAGTTAGCCGTGTTACATCAAGTCAGTACTTCCATGGTAAATTTCATTTCCGTTGGTTACAATTATGGCTAGAATCCTTGTATTCGAAAATAAGAGTCAGAACATCTGGGGAATCATAACAGGGTCAAAATGGGATGTATCACACCTATAGTCCCAGCACTCTGGGAGGCTGAGGCAGGTGGATCACCTGAGGTCAGGAGTTCAAGACCAGCCTGGCCAACATGGTGAAACCCCATCTCTACTAAAAATACAAAAATTAGCCAGGTGTGGTGGTGGGAGCCTGTAATCCCAGCTACTCCAGAGGCTGAGGCAGGAGAATTGCTTGAACCCAGGAGATGGAGGTTACAGTGAGCTGATACCATATCATTGCACTCCAGCCTGGGTGACAGAGCGAGACTCTGTATCAAAAAAAAAAAAAAAAAAAAAAAAAAAAAAAAAGGAGTTGCATTGTTCACCAATGACTTTGCGAAACCTGTAAGATGGAGAAGAATTAAGAGAGAGGGCCTCCTTTTTTCCTTTTTTCCTTCCTTCCTTCCTTCCTTCCTTCCTTCCTTCCTTCCTTCCTTCCTTCCTTCCTTCCTTCTCTTTCTTTCTGCTTTGTCTTGTCTTGTCTTGTCCTGTCCTTCAGCCTCCCTCTGTTGCCCAGGCTGGAGTGCAGTGGCACAAGCACAACTCACTACAGACTCAACCTCCCTGGCTCGAGTTATCCTCCAGTCTCAACCTCCCAAGTACCTGGGACTGCAGACACAAGCCAATACACCCAGCTAATTTTTAAGTTTTTTTTATAGAGACAGGGTCTTGCCTTGCTGCTCAGGCTGATCTCAAACACCTAGGCTCAAGCAATCCTCCTACCTTGGCCTCCCAGAGTGCTGGGATTACAGGTGTGAGCCACCACACTCGGCCCGGACAGGGCTTCCTACCACTCCCCACCAGCATCTCTACCGAGCCCACGGCCTGACCTG